TTAATCTTTAGAGACAACATAAATGATTATTTCCTCCAAATCTGGAAATGTAGAAACTTAGCCTGTGAAGGATTTTGGATTTAATGCAGAAGTTTCTTGGAATATATGGGAATGCAAGTGCAGCATTAAAGAATCATACCAATTAAAATGGATTTCTCAAATGAGTCAAAGCTAGATGCTTCATTTGTGCTTCCACACTTTTTTGAAACAATTGATTCAGCCTCACTGGATCAAAACTGAAATAATGTATACCCCTTTAGTTAGCCTGATCAATGTTTTGATGAGATATTATTGGCAGAAATAAAACTTTGTATGTTACGTATGGATGCACACAACTTAGCCAAGTGGCAAACATAAAACTGATCTTCTCATTGGATTTCTTAAAATTCTGAGTGGTAAAAATTTTAATCTGGAAGGTAAGAATTTTAAGATCACTGAAATAAGATATATCTGTCTGATGCAATCTATGATAGGACTTTTTCCCTTTCACATGATGTATGGGACATAATATTGTACTTAAATAGTAATTTTTTTACGTACAGTAAACAAAGTAGCTATTCAGGATCTGATACATGATTGTGGTAATGTAATATATTGAGTATTGGGTAGGATTTAACTCCTTTATAAGACCTATTTATGTTTTCTTTTATTTACCCATATTCTTTATCCATTTTTTGTTTTAGTCTTAGTTGCAAGATTATTTGATTTTATAGTTAATTTAATTGATTTTATAATTGTGAAAAACAAAAAAATCTGGAAAGCCAATATAGATAATCAAATATTTTTAAAAAGATTTACATAAAAATATATTGATGATATTGAAACTGTTAAAAAAGTCCAATGATGGCCATTGCAATGAAGTTAGCAACTCTTTTATAGACCTGCCAGCAAAAAGGGCTGGGACAATGATTTTAGACCATACTCACTGTCTAGTGTGCCATTGATTGATTTTGTTTTGGATAAAATTTGTGGAATACTTTGGATTTAGAAAAACAAAGTACAGAGATATACAATATGTATAATGCAGTAGGGAAAGATTTAGTACATTGTACTGTGGGAAACAAAGTTCCCTTATGTATTCCACATCTTTTATTTAAGCACCTGCATATTGATTTTAATCTATTTGTACACTGGCAGAAATTTTAGCCTTTGGGGAAAACAAATAACTCCAAGATTTTTAATAGCTGATTCACATAATATTTCAAACATTGGATGAACACAAAACTCTAGGCTATCCCTAAGAGTGTATTTTTCTTTAAGTATCTGATCCAAATTAAGATGAAAGTATAAATTAAGCTAGCAGGGGGGAGTTTCAGCAAAATCTCTGAAGCATTTATATTTTTTATATTGGAATGAAACCATTTATTGTGAATTGTTCTAAATTTAAAGATTACCATTTATACTGAAGTATCAAAAAACTGAAAATAATTATTGATTTTTCTGTCATTTGACTTTGCAAGACTAATAATATTTCAGTGTATTCCATGGTCATATTTCTGTGCTGATGAAGTGCAAAAAAACAACAACCCTGTTTTAATCTTATGACATTTTTTATTAAAACATGATATATATTTGGACTGGAGGCTTTCCAATATATAGAAAAGAAACTGAGTGAAATTTTAAAAAATTAAAAAAGAAATACAAATGACAAACCAGGTGACTGACTTGGAAAAAAAAGTCTTATTAAAACTTTGAAGAAATCCGTGTGATTGCTAAAAAGAATTGAAGACAAATAAAGTTCTATTAAAATATTGGGTTTCAATATGTATTAAGACTACTATCAAAGCTGGCACCAGCTAGAATATAAAAACACTCAAAGACATTGTGCAGGTTTGGACTATGTGAAGAGACCTGACCCATAGAATCACCAAAAGTCAGACAGGACTGAAATGGATAATATTATCACCATCTCATATTAAGAAGTAAAAGGGAGGAATATAAATTTGGTTTATTTAATCATGGTTAAAATAAGACATTTTGTTGCAGCATTCTGGCAAACTTTTACAGACTTCTTCTGACACCAGGTTTGAAAAGTTGATGTTTTATGGATTTGCTTATAGATAAAGGATAAGATATGGGATGAATATCTCTTTTGCCTTATAAGGGTGAGGTGTTATTAAAATTGTTAACACTTGTTCTAATCAAGATTAGAAATTACTTCTTTATTTTTTAAAATTATATTCTCTCTTCTTTCTCTTTTTTCTTGCATTTTTCTTCTTTCCATTCTTTTCTCTTTCTCTAAGTTTAATTTGTATTGGTCTTTACTATTGCAATTAAATTCTTAATTGAAATTATATTTGAAAAAATGTTTGGTCCAATTTATTGAGTTATTTACATGAGTTTATTTATGTAAAGAAAGAAAAGCATAACATCAATCGTAACATTGGAGCAGATGTTCCTTCTGAATCATAAAAATAAGTTTCTTCCTATTAGGTTAGATAAAAAATGGTGACTATAACACAACAAGCCAAATTCCCCACTATCTTTCCTTCTGTTTTAAGCAAGTCTTTCTCATATTGTTTTGTTCTGTGGTGTTCTTGTTCATATAAACATAGAGAATTTAAAAAAAAAATTTTTTTCTCATGTAGAATTTTTTTTTACTGTCTAATCTAGCTTTGGACCCGTCTTTCATTCTCAAACTAAAACATAGGTTATTTGGAGGGGTGGGTGATAGAGAGAAGAAGTCTGTGATTCCTGAACTTAACCTGGGGAAGGAAGAATAAGATAAAATGTACATAGTGTGATTTCATTTTTCCAAGTTGCTTACTTCTTAAAGTTGCTAAACAACTTTAAGAAGTAAATTATGAGCATGTCAATTATAAACATCTGGCTTGGAGGTGTATTTATTGTTATATGAAAGCTATTCATTGTTTAGACTGTGTTTATTGACTAAACAATTATTTAAGTATCCATACATGTTTCATTAATTTTTGTAGAGCTGATTCTGCCACTGTTGTCTGAAATGTGATTGCCTGCTCTGAAAGGTGAATGAACACCTGGTATTACTTCAGCCTATCTGCTTATGGGTTTTGGAGTTACTTTCACAAAATCAGAGACTTGAAAGACACTGTTTATGCCATGGTTCCAATGCCCTTATTCATGCAAGAATCCAAATTAAAAGATCAGCAATAAATGGGTATTTTCTGCTCCAATATTTTCAACAAAGATGATCTCATCTCTAGTAACTGATTCCTCAAATTAGAGTTGGTGGTTTTTTTTTTTCAAACATTCAACCAGAATTTACATTACAGTCTTCCATTAATTTAAATCTACAAGTTCAGTTCCTGTGTCAATTTGTACACTACAAAATGTATGATATATTTATTTTTGATAAATGTACAATGTACACAGCAGTGCAAATGATACATACAAATATGTATTTGTGAACATAAGAAATTTTCCAGGCATCCCTCTACCCCACATACATACAGAGAGAGGGAGAGCTAGAGGGACAGGGGGGAAAGGGGTGGGGAGAGAGAGAGAGAGTTTCCAGACATCCCCTACCCCCACTTCCACACAGGGAAAGGGAGAGGGAGAGGGAGGGGAGAGAGAGGGGAGAGGGAGGGAGGGAGAGGGACAGTTCAAGGAACCACAGTCTTTTTGCTGATTTTACTGCAGCAGTTTGACAGTTTTGTGTAAATGCCAGAAATTGTGTGGTACTATACATTATGTCAAACAGAAATAAGGCACTACATGACAATTCTAAACGTCTTTAGATATATATTTTAAGACTGAAATCCTTCACATCTTGTAACAGATCACAATCAAATTCCTTAAGACATATACTGCCTTCTGAGTGACCAATCTGCAACTTGAATTAGGGACGCTTTCTATTTATTTGCATTCCATGCAAATATCTTTTTTAATGCTTACTTGGTTCCTCTGTGTTCTCATTCTGTCATGTAAGTGATTCCAACATATAATTCTAAAAGTTTAGTACTGAGAGTTTCAAAAACATAATATTCTTGGAGACTATTCTTTGAATAAAAAATCACACAGGAAATTTGTTTTATTGATAAAATTAAGTAAGACTGCTTAATATCAAGGCTAGATAAGGCCAAGGAAACAATTCATTGTTGATATTCTGCTTCAAAATGAACTGAGTCAAACCATGGAGCGGGGGTGTCAAACTCATGGCATAATGACGTATCATTATTTTTTCCCCTTCACTAAATTGGGGGTGGTCAGTGCATGATGCATCAGGCCTCATGACTTTGACATCCCTGCCATAGAGAATCAACCATTTTGAGAACTTTTTTCTCCTGCATAGCATATCTATTGATGGGCCTTCTCTAGAGCTTGTTTTAATGCTTTCTCTCTAGCAATTCTGGAAGGCAGACTTAACAACATTCCATTGTCAGAGAAGTTAAGCATACATAAGCCAGGTGGAACTGATTTTCAAGTGAACATCTTTTTCAGACTCACACAAATTTTTGCTCTTTTAAAAAATGTGCCCAATAGAAGAGATAATTTTATGTAAGTTAGAAGGCATGGATCTAAGTGACATCCATTTAATTGCCAAATTTTGTTTCTTTGCCGCAAGGATACATCCTTAATAATCTTACCATTATAGGACAAGGTGATTAAACTGTACATATTGATAGTTTTAAGGTATACATAAGAAAAATAACATGCCATGGTTTGTCTGTATTTTTATTTGATTCTGGTTCATGATTGTTATGAAGTTTGAATCTAGAAAGTACTTCCTTGTATACTTTGAGCTCCAGGGGAAAAGTTAGACTAAAAACAAAATAAGAGATAGTTTCAAGGATTCTTACTAGCCTAATGGAAATACCAATTTTCTATTCACTTCTAAACTAGTGCCTTTATTTTTTTGTCAGTTAACATTTTCAGATTTCTGTGGAAGTGAGTGATATATATTTTCCAGGAATTTATTCATGGTTCAGCTACAATGTCAATTTAATGTTGTCGCTCACATCTCCATGCTTTTGCTGTAAACTGATTCTTCTTTTCGTTTTCTCTTATTTTTACCGCTAAAGGCGCTGGTGGTTGGACTCCACTTGTATCAAATAAGTACCAATGGCTTCAGATCGATCTTGGTGAAAGGACTGAAATTACTGCTGTTGCTACACAAGGTGGATATGGGAGCTCAAACTGGGTAACCAGTTACCTCCTAATGTTTAGTGATAGTGGAAGGAACTGGAAGCAGTATCGTCAGGAGGAAAGCATTTGGGTATGTTTATTTAATGGTCATTTTTTTAGTCAATCAAAATTACTGTTGGGTGCAATTCTGTAAGATATTTGATCAAGAAAGGAAACAATCCTGTATGGTTAGTTTTAAGTTTAGACACAAATTAGACAGAAATATGGATGATTTTAAACACAAGCCAACATTACATAAAACTTGATGCATGTAACATTCAGTGCTGATGGAAGTCATGATGGTACCAGTGAAACAGAGATTATAGAACATAAAAGTAATAATATAGACATTTTATAAAAATAAAGAGAAAAAGTCTAATTTTTAAAATCCAAATTGTGAGTGATATTGTAAATAACGATAACAATTCCGATTAAAAAAATAGACTTTTCCTCTTTATTTTTATAAAATTTTATAAAAACATTAGGCTCTTTAACATACCTAGATATTTTTCTCCATTATATTCGTACTCATTTTAGCAATTTTTATCTGTGTTTGTTCAACATATATTTTAAAATGCTTTGCTGGAGTAGAAATTCCACCATGTTATTTGAGAGATATTGTATGTATTTGTTTTTCTGCTTGCTCTTTTTAAGAACCTTCAGATTAGTTTCATTTTACTGGAAAATTTTCAGTTATACTGTACCCATTGAGTTTGTTGTAACAGTTTTAATTGTCTATGTGAAAGTGGAGAACTTTTAAATAGTCTGGGTCTAATTCAGACACAACTGGATTTGTTACAACTGTCTTGCCCCATTAGTTTCAAATGATTACATCTGAATTCACTGCAATGTATTAGTATATAATTTCTTTTTTTTTAAATATAAAGTTCAATGATTGACTAATTTAACTTAATAATTTACTACTGTGATATTTTTCAATTAGTTTCATTTGGAATTCTGAACAAAATACATTAGCCCCAAAGCCTAAAATAAGCTAATTGTTTCTTATATAAGCTATTGTACATAATTAATAGCTGATGATGTAATGTCTAAACCCCTTAAAGATGTATACATTCATTCACTGAATAGAACAATTTATAATTGAATAAGTTTTTATTAGCTAATTTAAGTATTAAGATTACAACCAATTTTCAGAAGAAGCTGCAGAGTAACCTTTTGATATTTATATAAAGGATCCAAAATGCTAAAAGAATTACTGTATAAAACAGAAAATTAAAGTTATTACAATGAAAACTTAAATGCAACTAAATGGTATTGCAGAAATAGAAGAATATGAATGGTTAGAAAAGGATTACAAATTATTATTTTAATCTCTTTTTGTGGCAAAAACAGGATACCTGTAGATAAGAGAGACATTGTCAAATCTTATAAAAAAATTATTGGAAAGATACATCTACAGCTGTTGACTGTTTTCTCCTGTATGTATATTTTCTCCCCAGTGAGAAACTATATATTCTAAAAGCAGTCATTCCAAAAGTAGTCATTTTTCATTAATCCCTTCTTTCTGCACCCCCAAAAACATTTTTGCAAGAATAAAGTAGGGGAAAGCAAATTTCATCTTGAGCTTACTTCAACAGGAGTTTTCTCTGAAGATGAGGCTTGTCACAAATTCAGACACTTTGTTAACAGATGATCCAAATCAGCATTAATAACATGCATTAATTAATAATTATGCATTAATAACAAATACCAACTACTTCTTAAACACTTTGCAGAGAACTTACAGCTGATACTTTAAAGGGATCCGAGATTATTTAAATCAATCCATTTTGTTAATGCAGGAATCTATTAAACTTTCATATCCAGAATCCATTTTAAAATCCTTAGCAAGAAGGTGACATCATTGTAATATTTTCCTTCTAATTTCAAACTGTTTTGCCCCTTGTTTCAACAGAGCACAGAATTACTCCATTTTGTGTGTGATTACCTTTATATGTTCTTAGATTGTGACACAGAGAATTTTGTAATTTGGGTCAGGATCATTTTTACATGTTATTGATATCTGAACAAACTGAATGCATGATTGTGTGAGCTCATATTTTATTAGTTGCTATCAGGTAGGAAAAAGAGCATAAAATAGTGTGAATGAGATTGTGCAAGCAACTAAAAGGAGTACTTTGTTATATTCTGCATAGTTATAAAGAAGGTAATTTATATTCATCTGGGCGTTATTAACATAAAATTACTATTCTTTGTGTGGGCTTTATTAAAAAAAGAAATATTTTACCCAAGATTGGATTAAACTTTCTAATAAATTCTAGGCTTCACTACCTTTTGTTAATTGATTTTCTGAAATACTCAGAGGCAAAAAATAAACAATTCTAAGTGCATATTTGATTGTTTTTATTAATATAAATCTCAATGTCAATATATACTTTCTGCTTTACTATTTTTCAGTAACTTCAGTGGGACCATTAAAACAGTTGCCTTCTTAGTTTTATTTTGTTTTATTTTGTTAATCACCCTAGACTGGATTCACTATTATCTAAACTGTCTGGAGCAATAAATGTCCCCTGAAGTATTATTTACAAAAACGGGAAACAATTTGCCAGTGTAAAATTCTTGGGACTGTTCTCTGTAACTTTTTATTTTAGAACGCTTTTGATATGCTACGGTTTTCTGATGATGCAGCTGTTATTACTGATAAAATACATTTTTTTTTTTTGAGGAAACATCTTGGCTTTTCCAAAGATAATTGTTTTTATTTTTGATTAAATTCAGATCAAATCAATTGCATATATTCTCTCACGTAATTTCTTTCAAGTGGTATTGTTTTAAAAGTTGAGATTAATACCCCTTGGAATTCAAGGCTCTGTAATATTAGTAGTTATGATTGGGAGCCTCTTGAGAGTCTCAGTATCTGAATGAGAGAAATATTTCTTGATCTTCTCTACTGTTCCTTGGGCTGAGCACTAATGTATGAATAGCTATATACTCATACTTCTTGGTAGCAAGCCATATTCTGAAACTTTGTATAAAGCATCCCCAAAATTGAAGGGGGAAGCAGAATTAACTAGGAGTTCTCTTGCTCCCCTCAAAACAAGGAGCGACCCTAGCAACAGATGTCAGATTCTTTACAATTAATTAGAAACAGTTCATCCAAGGAATACAAATTCAGGAGAGTATTGTTAAGTATATGCATGTATACATAGGTCAGATCAATGATATGTATTAAAAGGACAGATAAAGTTGTCACACTAATATTCCAGTGAGTGTCTTCTTTTCAAATGAGACATCTATGAAATTTTAGGAAAGCAAAACTCTTGGCCAATTCTATGCAACGTATGAATACACTCTCTTTGGGGTTGGAAAGCCACTTGTCACTGTTTTGATAATTGATACCCCTTTTAGCAGTGTAAGAAGTAACTCTCACAATAGAGTTATCTGTGATGCCTGATTGAATGATCCTCCTTCCATCACTCTCTACTCGGAGAACGTGATAGGCTGGCTTTTTGAAAATCTGCACAACTGTCTCTTTTCTACTTTATCACAGAGGAGTGTAATTGCTGATTAGTAGGCAGATTGAAATGGTTTGCTCCCCTATGGCAGGAATTATTCGGTATTTCTGCTTGAAATGCTTTTGATAAAAGTATCATTATTACAAAGAGGAAACCTTTCTTTATTCCTCCAAATGAATTTTCCCTTGTTTATATATTTCATATTGAGAGTTAGTTCATTCATATGACAGTGTTTCTATAATCTAGTGTGTTTGTGAGACAGACTCCACTTAACATGTACGGTTTTTTTTTAAAAAAAGATTGTTTTATTCATTATATCCATTATTTTGCTTACAAATTTATTCATTGGAATTTAGATCTTCAAGTAGAGCTACTAAGGGTTATAAATTAGTATGGACTTTCCTCTTTCAGAGAGACATCTACTTCCAGAAGTAAGTTAACTAAAACAGTTCACTTTTGAGTAGCAATCGAAACGTCAACTACAGTAAGGACAAAAAGTTGTTAAGAATCAGTCAGGGAAATATTTGATTCTATTTTATCAAAGCATCTTCTTTCTACTCAGGTTTTAATAGAATTTTTTTCCCATTTGAGTCAACTAATCTTATGTGGAGTAGAGAAGAGCAAAGTATAATTGATAATAAATATGAGTGAGGAATAGACCATCTATCACTGAAATGGAATTACCCCACTTCAATAAGAATCTTTTATTAGTACCTGTAAAAGCTGCTATTCTTACAAAAATAGCTTAAAGAGAAAGGCCAAAACTTGAGGAAAAAGTTTATGTTTTCATTATAAGAAATATAATTGAATACATTGATCTCAGATAGAACTTCTGCAACAGAATTATGTTCTATAATTGTTTTCCTTTTTTAGAAAAAATGCAGTAGCAAGTAAGTCTGAACAATACTGTATGACTAATTCTATATTTTTAGAAAAATGTAGTAATTTTAGTAGTTGCAAAAAAAGTTAATATGGATCATTTTTCAAACAATGTCTTCTACACAGAAACATGGAAGTTGTGTGTTCATTTTATAACAGAATAAATACAGTTATCATTTATAATTACAGAACTACAATTTTAAAAACAAAGATTATAATGTGAATCTAAATCTATTTTGTTCCAGAGTTTATGAAGCCACATGCTTTATAGGAATTAAAAGTTCACAAATCAAATATATCAGTAATTTTTTCCTGGCCACAATTGCATAGCTGTCAAGCTGATAAAGAGTATTGGGAATGAAATCTACTTCTTGATGAATGGCAAGATCAGTGAAATAGTTGAGAATATTGCCTATTTTGAAAATAAGCTTAAAGGTTGTGATCCAAAGCTATAGGGGAGATGACTCTACAAGGATCTATTTTCCTGCTCATTTAATCACGATTTTGCCAGTAATTTATCACTGTACCATAGGAATAATTGCAATATGCAAGTATGTTCCAAATATGTCTTTTTTCTAGAGTCAGCTGGACTTTCTTTGTTTTCCCTTGAAGATGTTTCACTTCTCATCCAAGAAGCTTCTTCAAAAGCTTCTTGGATGAGAAGCAAAATGTCTTCAAGGAAAAACAAAGAAAGCCCAATGGATTCTTTAAAAAAGTACCTTTGGGACAACCA